CCACTGGGTGTGTGGATGGGGAACTTCTCCCTTGGGTGGGAGCACCTCTGAGCTTTTGCTTTGAGTGACAGAATGTCTAGCTTCCCCACTGTGTGGAGCTACAGTAGGAATGTGCTTTTTTTCTTTGTGACTCCTTTACCGAGTCACATGCCTGCATAACTGTGGTACTGTTGCTGGAGTGCATTTAGTCACTATGCTCTTTTTACTTTTCAAATACTTAATTCTTTACTGTGTAGTAATAATGTAGATATAATTACTGAACAGAGCTTAGAGGTTTGTTGATGGATTCAGCTGTGAACTGATAATCAGTTATATTGGAAGATTCTTCCTTCTGATCTGACCCTGTATATGGGGAGAAAAATCCAGTTTTTCTGGATCTACCGTACTTGGAAACATACTGAAGGTTGTGTGTACATGTGAGCTGATTCTTGGGTTGTCAGACTGGAAGAGCAGTTTACCACGCATATACTTTTAAATGCTATTAGCTCAGTAAACTTTAAGACAAAATAATCATTTTAGCCAGTTTTGTTTTTTAATTCTTATCTAAGGCTAAAGTGAATGCCCTTCCTATGGGCTACAATGCATGGTGCTTTTTTGGTTATTGAATAAGTCTATATTTGTCTTATGTGCTAAAGCTCTTCATATGGAACTACAAATATTTGTATTGCTTCTTCAAGAACCAAGCATACAGTCTAGTTTTTGTTGACAAAGGAAAAGCCGCGCTAAGCTTCAAGGCTATTCGGATTGTAAGATATTGCTGATCTTCTAGACCTAGAAATGCACAAGATTTGGTCATTCACAGACTGGAAGCGTCCAATATGTAAGTTGGGAGACTAAATTCTGATTCTTTGGGGTTGATTTACTAAAGGCAATTAAGCTGTTCAGTTTTCAATAGAATTTGCACTTTGCAGGGGAATTTGCACTTTCCATTAGCTTAGTGAATGTGGTGAAACTTCACTTTGTGAAGAATACCCGAACATGTGAAAGGAAAATATAAAAACTAAAGTTTTTTTCTTGTACATGATTGGGTGATGGAAGTTGGCAGAGCTTCCCCTTATTCACTAAACTAAGGGCAAACTTCCCTTAGTTAGGTTTCTTTCACACATGAGCGGTTTGCACGGAAACGCGCTAAACATATAAAACAATGCATTCCAATGTGCATTGTTCAGACTATTGCGACATCGGCGGGGCTGCGAAACCACACGTCCCGCAAAATAGTCCGATCGTGATTTTTGGGGCAGATTAGTAATAGCCGCAAATGCATGAAATCCGCGCATATGTAAAAAATTGTGTTTTCGTGCTGCGCAGAAAAGGCAAACGCCATATATGAATGGAGCCTAAGTGCAAATGATTTGCCTTAGTAAATCAACCCCTTTATGTCTGCCTAGCCACATTTGGTATGCAGTATTGAATACATGTGTGGGTTTTCTATGTGCCTTGCTAGATGGCCAAACTAAGCAGAAGAAAGGAGAGCAGTAAGCCTATACACTGTGAACAGTTATTGGAAAATAATTATTTTCTCATAAGATTTAAGGGGATTATTGCAGTACAAATAAAGCTTTCACAGATAACTCTGACCCTTGCATATAGGTCTCCTTACCGATACCATTTGTTGTCTACATTATTCAGTGACCTGAATGCAATTATATGTCGATGAGTGATTGAGCCACATTACTGAATTAATTTGCAGCTGGCAAAATCTTAGATAGGTCCTCCTAGAATCCAGTAAAATCAGTAGCTTCAAAATGCACTGCTTCAAAAAGAAATTACAAAATAATGGTATTGTTTTCATTGTGTTTACTGAATAATCTCACTAAAGGATATTTGAGCTGGGAAAATGTAGGGTTTGCCTTTGCTTACTTTTTTCTGATAGTTGCCCAGCAGTCATATTGATGCAAAGAGAGGAACTGCAGGAAATAACAAACCCTTGTAATTGGGCTACCCTCATACTGCAAGGTTTAACTGCTCGTTTTGGTCTAGGGGTTGGATTAAAGAAAATATACTTAATTGATCCTCAATCCCCCGCATTGCTGCTAGACCGCTCCCGGCAGCCGTCTGGCTTCCAGCAGCCTAAGCCCCACAGACATCACATCTAATGCATGTCCATTCATCTGCGTTAGATGTGAGGAAGCTTGGGTACATACACTACCACAGCCGGGGAGTAGGAGGATAGAAGTGAGCTCTGACTGCCACAAGACCAAGGATCAGGTGAGTCTATCTTCTGTATTCTGGCCCTAGATCAAAACGAGCAGTTCATCCGTGCAAGGGTTAAATTTGTTAATAGCTAGCCAAGCAACTAGTATTTTTAGAAGAAGATAAGGAATAGCAGCCTCAATGCAGTATAGGTTTTGTTTTATGTCTTGGATACCCCAGATCTCCCTGTAATAGTTCCCGACTCTGTTCCCATCCACTGGGAGCTTGGGGTATTATCACCCACTGTTATATGTTTAGCACCTTCTGCAGCAGTGCATTGCTCTACTGTGGCTGGATATCTTTTGGTTGCACTGTATACAGAGGTAAGTCATTTGAAAACATATTAAATGTAGAAATGAGCATGTCACATCTGGACTTATTTCATCAAATTTAAGCCCTCACGGGCAGGGCCCTCCCATCTTGTCTTGAATAGTATTGTGATTTGTAATGTCTTCCTTATATTGTAAAGCGCTGCGCAAACTGTTGGCTCTATATAATTAATAATAATCAAATAGTGAGAAGGTCATACACACCTGTATGCATGGTTTCTAAACTGGAGTCACTAGTTCTTCTTCTTGTATTTTTTTATATACATATGCATTATTTATGGTACAGTATTATGGCATGAAAGTGTAAATGTCATAGTTTATCATTATCCTTTCACAGTCGGAAAATGATTAGACATGCTGGTAAACATAGTTGAAGGATCTAAATGGTTTTCATCTTCCAGCAGCACCAGTTGCCTGAGGGGCAGTCAGTTGTATCTCATTCAGTTTGGTTATAGTGACATATTAATACATTGGACATTTATCCTGTCACTCTGCATTCACCAAGAGAGGCATATTCTTCCAAACTGTTACGTGGAAAGATTTTTATAATGTTCATTCTGACATGTTTTTTATTCATGCCGAGTAGAAATGAATCGTGTGGATGACTTATTCATATCCATTTAGCATACTTTAGTTCATTAATAAACCTTCACACTTCAGATCACTTTTAATTAGTGATAATTATCTTTCATTTTAATGAGCCCTTAGAGACACTGGTGTCAGAATATTATTGGCTTGTTGGAAATAGATATTGTAAAAACTATTAGTATGATTCTTTTGAAGGATGAAATCAATGTTATTGCAGATCAAAGATCCAGATTAAAAAGCTTACATTTCAAATAGGAAAAAACCAAAGTATGCTGGGTTTATAAAACACTTCATTTTTTTTATTTAAATAATTGATTTAGGTAGAGATGAGCAAATCTATTCATTGAGTTTGATTCTATAAGGATTGTTTTTATTTGATTGAAAAGATTTGTATTTTTTTCCCTTTCATGCTTAAAGGAGAACTATGAGATGAGTGCTTTTCACTCACCTCATAGTTCTAGCCGACCTGTGACAATGAGACTGTCACAGGTCGGTTCAGTAGATCGGGAGGTGAGCGAACATATACCGGCGTTCGCTCACCTCTCGATCCTGACACGGCTCTCTGCCGTGACAGGGGAGGGGCTGGATTCCCCCCTCCCCGCTCCGATCTGCCAGCGCTGACTGGCGGATCGGATAGGGGAGGGGGCGGGTACAGCTGGCTCTGCCTCTAGATAGGCAGAGCCAGCTGTCACTCACGCAGCTGGGTGGATCTCGACAATATTGTTGTGATCCATTCCGGCTGCGGCACGCTCAGTATATAGCGAGCAATAGCCCGCTATTTACTGAGCTGTGGGTCACCGGAGGAGGTTAATATATGTCCTCCTGTGACCCTAATGAGTGCTATTAGGTAAAAAGGTTACCCCATAGTTCTCTTATAAAGTGCATAGGGAGGGTTTCAGCAACAGAAGCAGGGCTGTCAATCTAGAAGGCAGTGGTCAGGATTACATGTGGCCAGTTGCTGATTTAGGCTCCTTTCACATGGGGGCCGTCCGTTCCAATGTGCATGGATTGGTGTAGAATAGAAATGTCACTCTTGTGACATCCATGTCCTTTCAGTTTTTCCTCCATCTTGTGATGAAGAAAAAACTGAACTTACTGGACCCAAGTTGGGTCTATGGGTTGTTGGATGTAAGTGGACATGTGTTTGTTTACATCAGACTTCTTCCCATATTGTCATGATCAGGTCCGCTAAAAAAGAACTCTGTTCCTTTTTTTTTTTTTTTGGACTTAGCTGGAGTTTAGATCTGGCTGCCCATGTAGTAACTTCGGCTTTTAATCAGATCCGACTGAAAATCTGACAGGCGGACCAGATGGGACCGTCCATGTGAATCAGCAGTGACAATGCTTTAGGGTGGTTCCTTTCCCTTTCAGAGTCCTATGGAGCAACCCTTGTGTGTGCTAGTAAGCGTTGTCTCCACAAACATACAGACATAGCAAGGAAAGTCACTCCCCCCCTCCTCCCTCCTGCTTCCTTCCTTCTCCTTTCCCTAAACTATTAGATAGAATGCTGCTGGATAATGCTCTGTCTCTTGTGATATTGTACTGGACAGAAAGTTCAGGGAAGCAGAGACGAAAAAATTGGAGCCCGCTGTTCAGAAACATGATGGCTGTAAGTGCCTGGGCAAAAATGTAAATAAATACTTTGCTGGGCAATGCATATTTGATCTGGATTTATTATTGAAAAAGTTTGAGAGTTTAATACTACTTAAGCTTAGTTATTGAGCTTTAATCTTACTCATCTACTCCTCTCTAGATGTAGGATTTACCCTCCAAGGTGTGAACACGCCTATATGGTAAATCTAGAAAAACAATTTCTGTGACCTAGGTGCTCACTTCCATCTTTAAAACTCAATGAACATTCCTTGATTTTTTTTTTTTTTTCTATTTTAGTTTCTGAAGAAATGGAGCAGAGAGAGTTGTATGGAACGCTGCAAGAAAATGTTCCCAGCCTTAACACAGCAGGGGGGGGACG